AAAATATATATAGTGTATATATATATATATATATACATAATTTGACATTCTGTTGACCAAATTGTAGTCCATTGTTTCCGTCTTCGCTCCGAGCTTCCTCTGTTGCCTGGGTCATGGGATGCTAATATATAATTCGGGATGGTTTCCGGAAAACTGACGGAATAAAATATTTGTGGATGTCTGGGACATGATCTCAAACGTTTGAGGACTTCGTAAAAGTCATGATTTAATTAACTTTGACTTTTTGTGGTTGTCAGATAGGCATTCTGAAAATAGGAAGCTTCCTTTGTCAGGTGAGCGCTCCTGTCACATGTGACAGTGGGACACTGTGTATCGTTTGCCTGTCCCTCTACAGTAACCACAATCAGCCTCCTAATGGGAACGAAACCACGTGGTATGTTGGTGTGACCGGCTGGAGGGGAAGAGGTTCCCTGGACTTCATAATATTCCAATAATACTGAAAGGCTATGCGAAACTCACCTGGTGTGTATCATAGATCAACATATTTTCTTGAGCAACACAAAGCATACCCATGGCTTTGACGTCTATTGGAGTGGGCTTGTTCCTGTCCACAAGAAATACCAAGTCAGAATCTTCACTTGATATCCCATCCCCCGATCTTATCTGAATCAGCTCTCCATCTTGCGCACTTCGGCACAGATTGGACTGTGAAAATGTTACCATACACAAGGTGTAGCGAGCGCCCATTGGTACCCTAATACAGCACAGCATTTTACCCTAAAGCTGCAGTCATCAGTGTGGATTATTAAGACTTATGCCGATTCGAAAGCTCTGTAAAATAACTTGTAGTTAAACCTGTCGATCTTGGGATCACTTTGCTGGTTAGTCGCAAAGCTGAAGCCATCACACACAGTGGCAGTGAATTTTTTTCTACAACCAATTCTTGCCAGTTTTTAGTGACTCAACATTCTTTTGCAGAGGTGGCTCTACATTTGGTTGCTTTGCTGACTGTTTCAAAAATCCGAAATAATGAATCGTCCAAGTTATTGTAAATTCAGTTCACAAACATTCACATCTCAGCTTTTAGCAAAAAAAAATCTGAAAGAATTCTAACAGGCTGTCAGCCATCGGGCATCGCGCTTTTGTAAGTTGGCTGCGTCGGAGATCCAAAGATCAGTGGATTGGAGTAAACCTATTCTTTCGTTTCTTTCTTTTCGCCTACCAAACTAGCACGAAACTGAAGCACATTGACCTGTGCAACTTACCTTGGGTTTGGAGGATTTGGTTGACAACCACGCTTCGTACGCCGCGCTTGCCTTCTGCACTCGAGTTTGTTGCTGCAATTTGATCTCCTCAGCTAGAATTGTTGCAGCTTTCTGTTCACGCTTCTACAAGAGATGAGTGCAGATAGAAGGCGAGGTTTCCTTTAACTAACCATACAGTCGAGAACTCTCCGAAGTGAAGGTTTAAATTAGTATCCTCGAGGCATGCCAGTAGCAGTAGAATTTCTAGTGAAAGACCGTCCGGGTGCAACTTTTATTGCATCACCTTATGTTCGAACCTTTATTAAGTTCCTGCAGCTGCTGCAGGGAACTTAACACAAACTTTCCACATCTGTTCTCTAGACTAATTCTCAGTCAAAATTGTCCACTTCCAGCTCATTGACCTCCGTTTTTCTATGGTTGAATTCCACATCTGGGCTCAGTAGGAACCCAAACAGTTACTGTCGAAGCCTCCGTGTTGATATTGTGCATTGCTTTGACTCTTAGAAGACTCGTCAAAATATTCCTAGTCTCCTGAATCTAATGTTGTACTAGTGTGCTCTGGTTATCAAGACCCTTCTATAAAGACAGCGACGAATCTCAAAAGGGATGAACCAGTTGTACAGTACATCTCGGTACAGACTCTAATTAGAGGGAAAAAGCTGGATCGAAATGCCCTGATTTCTTCTTCGTGTCAGTGAATTCTGAGCAAACTCATTTTGTATGGCTGTTTCATCCTTATTAGAAATCAGCAGTAAGCCATTCACGAATACCGAGAAAGATTCGAAATCACAGACTCCCGACTGGCAGTTTGAAAATTTGGTTGTCCCGTTACAAGCAAGTAATCAGCAGTGTGAATAACTCGGACTGCATAACCCTTCCAATCTAGGCCTTTATTGTGTGTTCGGCAAAGTGGCCAAACTTAATAGTTCAGCTCAAGAATGTGGATTCTTTTAACTCCACCAAGGACACTTACGGAATGCATGACACCAATTACTCTCGTTTTCTGGGGCAGCTGAACAGTTAAACCGACACTTTGATGACTTTATCTCTGAGTCGCATTCTATCGGATTTTACTGTAAGACAATTTTTAAACGAAGGTTTGGATGTTTCCCAGGGTCATCTTCCAGTGTTAGTAAGTTCAATAATATAAAATTGAAAATCGATCTAGCCGCTTTTTAAGCAATGTCTTAACATAAATTGGAGAATTTATGTGCTAAAAAGAGCGAGTGTGGATGCAAAAGATCCGAGAAGCTGCAGGCGACCGTGTCTGGGAAAAGGACTTTCTAGTACCATCCAAAAGCACAAATTACAACAAACATGGTTTCTCTCCGACATAGATCTAAGTAGTACGGTCTGGGAAGATACTGCGAAACAAGTTGAGCTGGCTCTATAGACGGTCTGTGTAGTTACTATCGATGATAGACCAATATCTGACAATTCTTAGCTGCAGGTTTCAGACTTAAAACTTTCTTCACTTGGGTATGCGATGAAGGTGACTTGCCATCATAGGAACTAGAGCTGAGCGAAGAGATGAGGAAATTCATGACATCAAAAATTAGGAAACACTACCTTTCGTCTGTTCTCCTCTTTCAATTTCTCATCCTTTTCCTTCAACCAGCACAGAATCCGCCCATCGTTGAATCTTTGAAATGCGGGCCATCTCATTGCATTTGGGTATTTTTCACATTCGGATTTTGAATCCGTCTTGTCCAGTTGACTGGCTAAAAGATGTCTCTCTTTCTTTGGATTTCCATAACGCGTTTCCCCGTGAGCAGCCACATTGCGAGTTCCGGTTGATTTCGACCGTAATTTGGGAGAAGTCTTGGAGGACAGGTTGGGGTGTTTTTCAGATAACGTCAGGCTTGTTCTTAAGCTCCGATCTTTTTTCCACTTAATTGGATTATCTGACACAGCAACGGTTTCCGAAACTAAAGAAAAACAGGAATTTTGTCAAAATGAGCACCGAATTTTTATGATTTTAATGATTTCCATCCACGGTTGGTGTGACGATTGACTCTTTCTTGGCCAGTTTTGTGGGTTGATCTTGAATTCGAAATGATTCATACTTCAAAGTGTGTAACTTCTTTGAACAGCATTCACTCCCATGGATAGCTATGGACAAGCTTCTTCGCCAGGCACGACCTAATACGTGATCTCTCAAGCAGAGGTCATCATATTGAAATTATGATGAGCAATCGGTTTGTTTACCGCCTTGTAAGCTGTCGCTGTTGACGCAAAATCTTAGTCAGGACAGTTGGCCGGGTCGCCAAGCTGAGTGTGCTTCGAGGTCGAATGAGCATCAGTCATAAAAATCTACCTTCACCAGTGGGCCAAATCACTCTTTGGTGTCAGTTAGCAGATTTCGTTTGTCAATATGAATCCGCCAGTGTTGATACTGATGGGATAGGTAAAAACTACATGAAGTTGGGCCTTTCAGTCCTGTCCATATGATGATTCCTTGTGATTGTCTTTTACGTTCTTGATTGATCTTTGTGGGTAGACTAGTGCTAGGTTATTTGGAAAAGCAGAAATGTTGAGCTGAATCTGAGTCGGGTTTGGCCTTGAACCTCTAACCACATCCGTTGATGGTTCCGCTTGACTGACGACCGCACACCATCATGTGTCAGCTTGACTTATCCAAAGCTACCCCCACTTCTATTCTATTCACGCTGAGAGTTTTAGCGATTTCCGCCTTCTCAGCTACCAGATACGGTGCAACTAAATTATACATGTTTGTTGAGAAATAATCAATTGGAATCTGATCGTACCGTCTATCATACGGAATGACTGATACGATGATCTATGTAGGCACAAGTCACTTTCAGTAGGCAGGCCCCATTTCTACGGCACATCTACGGAAATTCGAAAAATTCCGCATTCACAGCATTCAGTTGGGAGAGGCGGCACTTGCAAAGTGCAATCCTATGATGTTTGTATAGGCTCCATTTCCGTCGTTTTCAACACACTATCTCGCGATCCGATACAGTCAAAGAAAGTAGGTCTACCGTTTTAGTCACACCAAGATCAATCTTACAAAGAATATCTGATACAAAAATTCGTAAACATCAGAATATTGGCTATCTCCGTACTGATTGGACGCATATGGAATCGGCGTTGCGTGTGTGCTGGCTAAGGTCGGAACCCAGGACACGTATCCTTGTGCCTTGGAAGTAGCTCGCATTGATGTGGGAATGGTATTTGTATTCCATCGGACTAGAATACAACAGTTTCCGGGTCGAATGTAATACAAAAGAGCAGCAGAGATGCGGGCAACTAAAAGAAATGCGGACATTCATCATACAGTAAGTGAAATCAGTCTATTGGTCATTGATCAGGTGGCTGCTAATGCGTTCGGGGAGCTAGGCAGTGGGCTTGTAAACGTTTCGTCACCAAACGAGGAAACATCAACAGTACGCAAGCCAATTGCCAAGCTCGGCAAACAGATCAACAGCCACCTGATCAACAGCCCTTAAACTCACCCAAGCTGCCAATAGTTTAGCACATTTCCAGAAGCCAGTCTATGCTGGAAAGCGACGAAGTACTGTACAAGTGTTTCATTCTCGTTAAGAATCATCTGCAGTGCGCATCCCGTGAAACTCCAGAGACTCTCGAACCTCTACTGGGAGGTCTCTGTGAGGTCTCGGGTTCGAGACCCTCTGGAGTTTCATGAGATGCTCACTGATGGTGATTTTCAGTGAGAAAAAAACAGCTGTAAAGTATTTTTCGGCTTTTCAACATAGACTGGCTTCACTTGCAGGACGGAATCTCCACCGCAATTCCAGAATCTCCTAGCAATACTGACACTCATCATAAAACTTTAACCCATATATGTATATATATAAAGTCTTACTTGAATTTGTAACTCGCGATTGTGACCGCTTTGTCCTTCCATCGAACAGACATTTTTTGTCATGTCTTTGCTTCCGTTTATTCTCAGCATTCTGACCGTTTAACGAAGTTTGTACTTGTGATCTGTGGACGAGAATTCTTGTGGCTAAATCTTTGTTACAAATTGATTTAGGTTATCATTTTGTGAAAACTTACCTCCACGATGATTTCCGTTGTTCTCATGGTAAAGTGGGCTCTTCAGATAGGAAAGAAGTTCGACATATTTGTGTTCTATTCTTTCATCGATTGGTTCTATATCAGTCTTGACCTTGTACCTAATTGGTGGGAGCATTTCTTCTTGGTCGACGTGTATTTGCAAGATGAATTCAAAACAAATTCACACATCTGAATATCCCTCTTCGTTATCGGTTGGGGTGGTCTAAAATGTGCAGAGAAAATTTGGAGTTCTGTGTGGGAATTTCGCCTTATTCTTATTGTTTTGCTTCCGATTGGGTTGAATGTTTAATAGAAAATTGCCAAAATGACTCATTTGGTTACCAACACAGCTCTCCTTTTGCCAATCATCCATCATTCTTGCCTAAGATACTCGTTACTTCCCCCTAGATTGCAACTCTTTTGACGGTTTAAAGGATGAAGGAGTTCCGAATCCGGCACATTATTACAGAAGTAATCAGTTATTGAAACGAAAAACGAGTATAAAAAGCACTAGCTTGATCACGTGGTGGGAGTGAGAATCATTACCCACTGACAAGATCGTTTATTTGCTTGTCTTTCTGGAGGTGGGAGATTGTGAGGTTGCCGGGGGGAGGGGCGCAAATTCGTCAAATCATTGATGAATAACCATGACTTTATGAATTCGACAGCTTTTACGGGGGACACCACAGATACTTCCCTTAGATTCATCAGAGAAGCCTTCAGAGTTGACCACAAACCGGTAACAACGGCGCTTGTCCTCTCACCTTCTAGGTGGATTGTCCCGAGTCTTTGAATATATGTCCATACTATATTTGGGATGGCCCGGGATCTGGCCCTTGTTCTTGCTTTTTTCCTGTTTTTAACGCTTGCAGTCTGGTTTATCATCGTGATCACTGAATATCAACCTCTAAAGTTAATGAGGATGTTGACGATGACAGCCTTGTGAAAAATGAGCAGTCGGTCTGCACCTGGGATACATGTGCAGATTTGTATAGACCTTATAACCTACTTTACCAGTCTCCCTCACTGGTTAAGTCGGCTCGAACTTCTCAAGTACAGTACGTAGGGCTGACCAAATTAATTATAGCGCCGTGTGTTCTCTTATCTCGCTAGTTAGTTGCACTATCACTTTCTAGGTGATGGAGTAAGGAGATACGAGCACTTATAGCAATCTGCGTTGTTGAGTGAAAAATTCACACTCACGGTCTTCCGGTTTACGAGACAAGCTAGCCTCGCAGATCGTGCTGCTGGGCTAGCATTCCCTGGTCCAAGCTAGTTCCAGGGTGCAAAGGGATTATCTCTCATTTGGTCGGCGGACATTGAACTCCCTTCTTAGCACTTGGCCATAGCTCTTGTCACTGATAGTATGCCAGTCTGTTTCACCGTTTTGTTACTGGATAGACTGCTTCAACACTATGAATTCCTAACCAATTTCACCTCACATCGTCATCATCACTGTGGGAACTACATGCTAGTCGTACAGTGGTTACAGCTGTCACAACTTCATTAACGGATGATTTGGGGGGGCTAGGTAGCTGATCATTAGAGGCGGGAGATGATGCAGTCGATACGTAAATGCAGGTTCGTCAACGGAATTCTAAGTGGGGAGATTGGGAAGGGATATATGCAGATTGGACATAGGTGTGTCCAAAACACGCGTCACTACGTCATATGGATAATGGGCAAAAATATGACTATTTTCAGGATAGTCAAAGCGTATACGACCTCGCAGATCAGGCGCAGCCATCCTGATGAAATAGCTATCAGTGTAGTGATCCGGCATCCAAACCTAACTACTGGAGGAACTAGTAGTAGTAAATTGTACGCACAGCTTTTCTGGCTGTTCAGGTCTTCCGAAACAATTCTGTACGGTGGTAACTGCGCTTTATTGCATGTAGAGCTTTCAATTTATCAAAGTCCTATTGGGACAGCACAGTTTAACACCGAATATTTCCATGTTAGGTCGTCACGGAGTTTTATATTAGTCGATTTGTGCGCACGTGGTGACTCGACAGTAATCTCGGATTGTCTCAATAGGAGCCTAGAGGCAACTGAATGCCAAATGATGATTTCTGACTTTGAAATCGTTGGTAACCATGCTCGCGACGGAACATACTCAGGGCGAACATAAATCAATATCTAGACACGGTAAAATTACTATCAATCCATCTAAAAAGGCTAACTGATCCACACGTTCAAGACAGCCTAGAAACGTCACTAAGATATCCTATGGGAGTCCCGGGATGTACAAATGAGAAAAAGGCGTGGCATTTGGTAATAAAGATTTAGGGAATTTTATTTTTTCACCAGTTGAGGCGTAATGGTTTCGGAATGATTCTGATATAAAGAGTACTGACATTCTACTCTTTACGAAAAAGAAGACTATGCATGTTAATGACACATCTGAATGCAGTGAAGAAGGTAAACTGTTTTACCATTTAGTGATGATATAAGAAGCACTAGCTTCGCTGTTAGGCGTTTTCACGACAGCAAAAAAACCAGGTACGCCTGTTTGAGACCGATTTTGTGTGCTGCAATTGGCGACCTCCAAGTAACCACTGTGATCTGAAAAAGTACAGAAAACTGGATCTTCACGGCGACCTATTTAGGTGTGGTATCGCTGAAATTCGAAGACAACTAGTTTGATTTGTGGTGCTGTGGCTACCTGGTTTTATCTGGATATTAATTAGGAAGTGACATGACAATTGGCCGCTGTGTGCGAGTTTCTTCAGCAACATTTGCTGCCCTGTCAAACCCCTCCAAAATAGTAAACCGAAAACTAAAATCCGTCAAACTTAAAGATTTTGTGGATTTCCATCTTTTCGTTTACTGCAAGATAAAAAACAACTAAACCCTTGAACATGTCGATCAACCACGTGTGAAAAAACTTAAGGCGAGATCACATGAGGCCAAGTACGTCTGCTAAGAGAGTATGGCTTGCCGGCCAATTAGAGTTTGAATTCCGCTCGTATAAACAAGGGCCCGCGGATTGAATATTTATGTGTGTCTGAACACCAGAAGACAATAATGATTTTGAACTAACTGTCTCTTCGCGAACTTCATTTAACTTGAAGTAGCTTACGCTTGGACACAGAGTAATAGAAGCACACAAATATATACTGATGACAAAACTTACACGCCATGTGTTTACGAAAAATATGACAATACCCGAAGAGAGTACTCGGTTACATCAGTCTCTTGATGACTGCCGAACAATGATTAATTAGGGACAGCAATTTTGCCCAAGACACCTATTTCAACACCGGTTTCTACTGAACTCTACACTTCCCAGCCGATGAATAATCACCGTAATTGTCAGCTATATTAACCGCGTACTTGTCGTACAGTGATTGTAACTGACAATAAATCAGAACCAGTATATCTTTCTTTCTGCGAATTTAAATATATGAGTTCGATCCTAATTTCCTTTCATCGCTGCGTATACCGAATGTTTTCCGGGACTCAATTTCTTCAGCTCTGAGGGACTTGGGGAAAGAAATGTTCCCTTTGAATATTTACCAACCGTTTTCCCTGGCTATTTTTATATATACACGTTTCACTTGACATAAGAGTACAATCCACACTATAGGTTTTTACTCACCAAATCCTCCAACTCTTTTTCATATGGAAGCACAATTGCCCTGCTTATTATAATATTTGTCATGGTGTGCAGATTCTTTACTGAATATGTAGACACGTAAACCTCTTTACTGCATGCGCGAAGACCTAGTATCCAATGTATATGGAACTATCGTTGCTCATTTCCTCATAGAGATATAAAGGTGTTGTGATGAACGCCATACCCACTCAACAAGTCCTAAGTGATACTGGTCAGTTGTAAGAGAACAAACAGTAAAGTTCACCAACAGACCAGCCAAAATCGTTGATGTTAATGTCTCCAACTGCTGAAATAGCCCTACAAACAATGAAAATGCAAAACCGCTAGCCTCCAACTTCGCCCCATTGAAAACGGTTTGTCCGACTGTAGACTCAGTCATTACCCACGACTCCGGTAACCAAAGCTACAAACATGGAACCAATATACGCTTATCAAGAACGACTTGCGAGTCCAATAAAAACACCAAAGAAATGCAACTGCGATCCAGCAGGCTACGTGAAGTCCGCCCAATGGCAAGGATGAGTGCAAGATTTAAGGTGTGATCCTCTGAAAGATCAAGACTCTTAGGAGTGCCACTAGAAATAATACTCATTAAAGGTGCCATTTAGCCCACAAATGCCTCAACATGGAGGCACGTTGCCGGTCAAACCGCTCCAGAAATCCCAAGAAACCACATGGATGCATGTTCACCCTAAATATTGAAGCAGTGACAAAACCAGGCGTCCGAAAGGCGGCAATGTAACAGCTACAGGCTAAAACCAACGGACATTTCAGCAAAGAGTGGAAAACATACGTCACTACAATGTAAAAATGTCACTACAATTAAGACCGGACTCCAAGGGGTAAGTTTTCATTGAAAACAAAGAGCAGGGCTCGATAACATCAAGGCAAGAAATAGACAATTAAGCATCAGAAACCCCTTCGACACCTTGAACTAAAACCCGACGGACGGCCATTAAGTCTGCTAACTTTGTTGGTAGCACACTTCTCGGCTCCCCTCCTTCGAACGCAGCAGATATAATTTGGTTACCCACAAACTACCTCAGAAAAAAACTTAGAGATGCTAAACTGCCAACTCGCCTCAAACAGCCATTCACAATCGCATTTGGTAAAATTCGGCTTATACCAGACATTTCTGACGCAAATATCTTGTAGACATATAGCTACTAAAATTTTCTAGCTGAATCAAAGAGCTGGATGGAAAGTGATGTTGCCTTATACGTGCATACTCTCCTGCCTATTCCGGTTATCTTCTCCGACACCACTGCTGCACACGCAATGCCCTGTGAATTCAGATTCCGCTGCATGACACTAATTCGCTTCCCCTTGGTGTGGTCTACTGTTGCCTCTTAAGTTAACTAAAAAATGACCAGTTCTTCAAACAAACACCTGATCAACTCTCCTTTAACTATCACTTAACAGGTCTCTTGCTTGTATGTGAGCTTAACGTTCTGAATACCCNTCATTACCCACGACTCCGGTAACCAAAGCCACAAACATGGAAACAATATGCGCTG